CCCTAAATGTTCATTGTTAGCTCAAAGCTACAGAAATAAGAAGAAATTAATTTAGGGCTTTTCTTGTAAATTCTATAACTTTGCAAAGAAAGGTCATGTAGAGCTGGGAGAGGTCTCATTTTAATCAAAAATCTACGGGCTACAATCATGCATCATTAAGAAAGGTTTTGGTTATTTTTTAGAGTTTCTGAAAAACTGGTTTTCCAGAAAACCACTCTCTGGAGGCCTAGCAGCACATCTCATGTTGATATTCGGAATCAGCATGGTCGACTACCTATAGTCCACTAGGTTTCGGTTCGAAAGCGATCGGACAGTTGGGGACCTTCTCTCGTTAGTTTTGAAATCTTTTTGAAACACTGTGTTGGTCACGAAATCGGAATTTAAAAATTTCACAAATTAATTTTCGATTTCGTGACCAAACCTAGAGAACTGAATTCTTAACAAAATGTATTTATTTTTGAGTTCTACCTAGGGTGTAAGTGCTGTTGACTAGTCAGTATACTGATAATGATGCATATCAAATAATAACACAAAAACACCGGCAACTTTTCATTTTGAAAAATCAATGACGACGAAAACTTGAGAGATTCAACATTAAAAGTTAAAGAAAAGGTGCCACTATGCGTGAATGTATTGAAAATACATCATAATAATAATCATTTTACAGTGCACATTCAATTTGGTGAATTGAAACTCCTGTCCTTCGACAAAATAATAATCTTATCGCAATTATTAGTCTTTGTGTGCCATATTATTATATTTTTATATACATTTTATAAAAAAACTATTCAGTATTGTTATTGGTATAAAAATTTAATTTACTCAACAGTGCCCATGTACTAAAAATCGCATAAAAATCGGCAATTAATCGTAAAAAATCATACGATTAATCGTGCGCTTAATCGCGATTAATTGCCGATTTTTTGGTGATTTTTAGGCGATTCTAGCGATTAATCGCAATTAATTGATGATTTTTTTCAAGATACTAGGTTCGAACCCATCTTAGGAAATACATATTTTTTTCTGTTTTTTCATTGTTTATTTCGTATAATGGCATCTGCGTCACACAGCAATAGTCTTAGCATCAGCTGGCGTCATCTTGATCCTGATAAATTCCACCGATATTATTATACCTGACTGCAACTTGAGAATCATCAATATAATTTTGTCCAATCTGAAGTGACTTTTCGTAACATTCTAATGCCTTTTTATACTCAAGTTTTTGATGGTAGCAGAATCCCAGATCATGATAAATAATAAAAAGATAAATAGGATTACTATTGAATGAAATATCATTGAGAAGTATTTGATAAAACTGCTCTCCTTTGTCAAATTTCCCCATTCGCATCATCAATGATCCTAAACTTTTTAAATTATTTACTAAACCAACTTTCTTTCTCATATAATGAGTCAATGCTTTCAATTGTTTATCTTCTTCTCCAGTCAATTTTAACTTAACATTCCAAATTCCGTTACTTTGCCTTTCAATTGATTCAATTCGAAAAACTGTGCCCATGGAAAATAAGAATTCATTTTCTGTTGGTATGTAACTTAAATGTTCAATATTAGCTAATGGAGTTTTACGTATGGACGGATCAATTTGAATTTCAAATAAAACTGATTCAGAACTAGGATGATTGAAAGCTTGAAAAGCAAAATTCAAGGCAATATTTTCATTTGTGCTAGTTGAGAAGAAGTCACTTATCGATAAAAGACCACCACGATTATTTTTCAGTTTTTCGAAGTCGTCACTTGACATACTTTGTCCACGATAAACAACCAATTTAGGAATTGAGCATGAATACGCATGAGTGTTTCCATGGGGTCCGTACCACGATATACACAACATTGTTCGCATAAGCTGGAACCCTTTTCAAATGAATGACCCATACGTGGGATTAGCGTAAATCGAGTTAAAAAAGTTTGAAAATATCGGCATCATAGAACGCCA